ATTTAGGGTATATTTTGATCTGGTAGAAGAAACTGTATCCCAAAATTTTAAAGATTTTTTTTTTTTTTTTTTCATGAGAGACAGAGCAAGAGAGAAAGGCAGAGGGAGAAGCAGGCTCCCAAGGAGCAGGGAACCTGATGCGGGACTCGATCCCAGGACCCTGAGATCATGACCTGAGCCGAAGGCAGACGCTTAACCATCTGAGCCACCCAGGCGCCCTGTATCCCAAAATTTTAAAGAGAGAACAACTTATATATATATACCAAAAATAAGGGTAACTACTATGAAGGGATAGAATATGACTCTAAAAATGAAAAATAAAAAATATTTTTTTAAAAAAGCGATTGATAAGTTGGTTGAAAAAGGGAAAAAGAAAAATTCAAAAAAAAAAAGTTAAAAAAAATTAACTTTGAAAGACTAAAGAATCATGGGGAAAAAGCCATGAATTCTATGTGCAGTATTCCCCACGCGCTGGAGTTCTGCTGTTCTCATTGATCGGTAAACTTGGTCTTGGCTGGCTGTTCTCGCTGATCTTCTGGGCGAGGGGCCTGTTGCCGCAGTTCCCAAATGTCTTTGCCGGAGGCGGAATTTCCCCACCCTTGCCGGGTCCAGGCTAAGTAATCTGCTCTGGTTTGCTCTCAGGAGCTTTTGTTCCCTGCAAGCTTTCCGTACAGCTTTGGAGGCCGAGAGTGAAAATGATGGCCTCCCAGCCTCCGCCCTGGAGGAGCCGAGAACTCAGGGTCCCGCTCCTCAGTGCGCCCCCAGAGAAAAGCAGTCAGTCACTCCCGTCTCCCCGGTCTCCGGCTACACTCCGTGCTCACCCAGCCTGTGACCGAGTGTTTCTATCTCTGGCACCCGACTCCGTGTGGAGTCTCCAAACCCAGCAGATCCCTTCAGTGCGCTCCCACTGCTCCTCCCAGGGGAGGAAGGGGAGTCTCCCCGGACCTGCCGCTTGTTGGGTCCCTGCTGAAGGAGCAGTGGCCCGACTGTGCCATGGATCACGGTTTATGGCAACCCCGAGCTGAGAGCCCGCTCCTCGGCTCCGTCTCTGCAGCCGGCTTTCCCGCTCTGATACCTGGGAGCTCTGCCACACTCAGGCATCCCTGGTCTTTCTGTGACCCCGAGGGTCCTGAAACCACACTGTCCCATGAGGGTTCCACCCCCCACTTAGCCACTGGAGCAACGTCCCTCAGCGGAGCCGACTTCTAAAAGTTCCGATTTTGTGCTCCGCTGCTCTATCACTTGCCAGAAGCGGCCGACGGGGGCCCCCTCCCCTGCCGTCTATCCTCCCGAATATAGCCTCGGATTCACTCCTCCGCACGTCCTACCTTCCAGAAAGTGGTCGCTTTTCTGTTCAGAGAGTTGTTGCTCTTCTTTTCTTCGATCTCCTGTTGAGTTCATAGGTGTTCAGAATGGTTTGATCCCTATCCAGCTGAATTCCTGGGACCAGACGAAATCCAGGTCTCCTACTCCTCTGCCATCTTGCTCCTCCCCTGAACTGCTCTTCAGCGTGGTAGCTTGTAGGGCTTGCAAAGCTCTTTGACTCTCAGGAGCTTTTTATTATTACAGACAATAAATGTCATTACCCCCACTTATATTTTATTTTAAAATTATTTTTTATGCCAGTATGTTCATGTGCAGAATTCAAAAGCTGCAAAAGGATATATATCATAAAGTATTTCCCACTTACTCTTCTGCCATCTACTCACTCCTTTGCCCAGTGGCAACCAGTGTCTGATTTCTTATATGTTTTTCCAGAGATGTTTTATATGAAAGCAACAATTCTGCAGGGCGCCTGGGTGTCTTAGTCAGTTAAGCATCCAGCTTGTGATTTCAGCTCAGGTCATGATCTCCTGGGTCATGTGCTTGAACGGGGTCAGGCTCTGCACTCAGCGGGGAGTCTGCTTAAGGTTCTCTACCCTCTGCCCTTCCCCCCACTCACACACATTGTCTCTCTCTCAAATAAATAAATCTTAAAAAAAAAGAAAGAAAACAGTTCTGTATAAATCTTTACCCCCATTTTACAGACAAAGAAGTTGAGACTCAGAGATTTCAGTAATTGGCTCAGATCACAGAGATGGTAAGTGGTAGAGCCAGAATTCTGATGCAAGTCTTCCAGTTAAAAATCTGTTACATGTCAGTTCCAAATGCCTGGTAGATATTTCTTCTTGGATTTCATATCTCTTCCTATTTCTGTCCTTCCTCTGAGATTAGCTTATCTCCATAAATTCTCAGTCTTCATAAATGGAGTCAACATTCTCTGGTCATCACGTTTGAAATTTTGTAATAATTATTGAATCTTTCTTATTGATTCCCTTATATGTCATCAGTTTCAAAACGCCTCTCATATTCACCCTCTACTCTCCATTCGGACCTTCAAGCTGTAGTTCAGGCCATAGTCCATCACCACCTGCCTGGATTAATGCCCTAGGCTATAGGTTGGCTCTGTGGCCCTCACCTGTTTATCATTGCCAGAATAATCTTCCCTAATGCTTTCGATAACATAATCCTCTCCAGTGGCTTCCTTTTTCCTTTTCCCATTAAACTTAAATTATTCTGACTAACTTCAAGGCCAACTTTAATCTGGCCTAATATTCCCTGTTCAGCATTTCTCTGTCTTGGCCTTCGTCCCTTTTGGACATATCTCCTGTTAGGCCACAGATAAATACTCCATAATCTGGCCTAACCGCCACACTTCTTGTTTGCTTCATCTCCATCACTGTCTTCCCTTCCATTACCAGAAACCTACTTTGTCTTTCAAGGCCATTTCCATTCCTGCCATGATTATTTGTTCCTGCTGTGGTTTTTGTTATTAGCTAGGGTTTTCTTTCAGTTGAAAAAGTACACATGCACCTGATAAAAAATTCAGAGTTTAAGGTGCATAATGAGTGAAAACATGTCTGTCTTATAAGTCATCTCTTCTCTCAGCTGTCCCCTGCAGGAGGTGGTCAGTGTTACTAGTTTCTTATGTATACTTCTGAATTTTGTCATCCATATACAAGCATGTGTATGTCCTTTCTATTTTCTGTATGAAAATGAAAATACAGTTTATGCACGTTCTGAACCTTTTATCACTTCATAGTACATCTTGGGAAACATGTGGTATTAATACTTACATCTGCTTTCATTCTTTCACCAGTTATGTGGTACTGCACATTAGAGTTGTTTCCAGTACTTTTACTGTTACTGTTCACACTGCTACATTGACTAGTTTGTTAAAAAAAATAAAAAATCATCATTGCTCACAATGATGATACATTTCTAAAAGAGGATTTCTTGGGTCCAATAATACATACAATTAAAGTTTTTATATGTAATGCCAATTACCCGCTAATGAGGTTTATGCCATTTTACCTTTCTGCCGGTGGTGTGATAGCAACTGCTGGCCCACACAGCTTTCAGTACTGTGTCCTATTAAACTTCACTCTTGTCCGGTCTGGTGAAAAAAATCTCTTATTTTAAATGTTTCAAATTATGAGTGAAGTTTAGCATCTCATTTTTAAAAGGCAGTTGTATAAATTTTATCTGTGAACTCATTTTTCTATTGTGTTGTTTGCCTATTTGCTAGTAAGAACTTTTTATGTACGAAGGTGATTGGGCCTTTATTGACCTTACATGATATGAACATTTTTCCCAGATTTGTCAAATATCTTTTTACTTTTTCTTTTCCTATATTAGCCCTTATTAGTACTTCTTACAGTTTTGGTTTTTATTTGCCATTAAAAAGAAACAAAGGTCTAGTTTTATTTTACCCAGATGGCTGGCCAGTTGTCCTTGAGCTGTTTATTGAAAAGTCCCTCTCATTTGAAATGCCATTAGCGTATATTAAATTCTGTGTATTTGAATCCATTTCTGGAACAAGTTTGCTCTCATTGATTTCTTTGTCCATGAGTAGAAAAAACTTCTTTGACTTCTGGAGGTTTATTATACATTTTATATTTGGTGGAGTTTGTTTTGTCCCTCATTATACTTCATCAGAATTTTTCTGGATATATTTTGATTTTGATTTTTCCATATGATCTCTAGAAACAGATTATGTAAACCTTTCCACTCCCAAGATTGTGTTGACATTTTTATCTGGGACATAATAAATCTATTGTTTAACTCTTTCTGAAATTTTATTTTTGATTTTTTCCCTAGTCTTTAAGTTTTGCTATTTTCTGAAACTTTGTCTTTGTGGGAGAATGGGAATTAGTTTAATTTAGCGGGGCAGTTATTTGACCACTTATATGATATGTCCTAAGAGTTGAGGTGCAGGATAAGGCAAGAGTCATTGTAGTACGAGCACTTACCCATAGTTGACATTACTGAAAGAAACACGAGCATCTTGTTTCTGGTCTTCAGACCACATTAGTCAGGAGTAGGGTGGATGATCCGAAATGGAGGAGGACAGACAGTGCATTCACTTACATACAAGATAGACTGCCATGCTCTGTTATTTTTTAAAAATATAGATACATGAACTAATACTCGTATCTCTCCATGAAGTGAAGTACAGTGGAGGTTCTGCTTGTGTGGACTGAATAATACTTAATTTCCAGTGAGCTTAATAAAAAACCAGTCATGCTGACCTTTTTTTTTTTTTTTAAATAGACTTTATTCTTCGGAACAGGTGTAGATTTACAGAAAAATGGAAAAGATGGTACAGAGGGTTGCCACACACCCCACACCCAGTTTCCCCTTCATTGGTCTTTGGCATTAGTGTAGCACATTTGTTAAAATTAATAAACCAGTGTTGGTACATCATTATTATTAACCCAAGTTCACTCTTTGTTCTGGTTGCTTTAATTTTGCTTAGGGTCCTTTTTCGGTTCCAGGGTCCCATCTAGGAAACTGCATTCAATTTCACCAATGTGTCTCCTGATGTTCCTCTTGGCTGTGGCAGTTTGAGTGAAGTTTTTTGTCATAGACAGAATTTTTCTAAAAGCTAGAACATTTAAAACAAGTGGACAGTTTTAAGGTATTTCAACTTCTGTGTTCCCTTTTCTTCTGTATTCCAGGCACTCTGTGAATGTGCCCTCCAGACTCCTTATGACAGCCTGAAACTCGGGATGCTGTCTGTCCTTTCCACACTGTCAGGGACCATTGCCATCAAACATTACTTCAGCATAGCTTCAGGTAAGGAGAAGAAGGGAGAGGACATACGGAGAATGTGCTAGTCCCTTTTCTCATGTTGATGGTTCAGGTTGTTTCTTCTGTAAAGCCTTAGAATCCAGAACAGTTTCAGTCTTGTACTCTGTTATATGCCAGTGACTTATCTGAAAATGACTTCTTCACTAATGCCTGTGGTCATAATATTTTGCATCCTTGATCATAATTCAAGGGTATTGTTTTTTCTAGATTTGCCCTATTTTGAATTATACATACGTGAAAGAATATTTTTGAGGATACTTAACATAGCTCGTTTGCTTTTGTATGTCTCTGAGTCAAAGTGCCCTTTGGATTTAAGTACATTTCAAAGGCCAGATGGTGGTGAATTTTAAAAGCAAATGTCATATGCCTGCTTTTAGGTATATGTTATCTCTCTGGAAAATGATTAAAAGAAAACTTTACCCCAGTTCAATAACGCTTTCCTAAACCATTGCAGATGGTTTAACTTCAAAATGCCTTAATTAATGCCCGGTGAGGAGCTTGCTTACCTAACAGACACGGCTAAAGTGTTTTGTTTTGTTTTAATGCAGGTTTTGTGGGATCTGTATTGCTTCCTATTTTAGTCCATTAATTTGAATTGAAGTTGCTAAGAATTACCATAATTCTTTGTCCTTTTTATGGCTTCACAGCCTGTGAACTTAACTGGGTAGAGGGAATTCCCTGCCATATATATAAGGCTTGATAGGAAGATAAAAATACCTGGCACTCTGTTTGCCAGGCCTCCTTGCCAGCTAGGGCACACACATGTGGCCTGGACTCAGGGCTCATGTCATACCACAGGCTGAATTGGGAGCCAGTAACGATAAGAAGTAGGGAAGTGGGAGAACCCGGTCTAGCGTTACAGCAGTGACCGCGGGCACACCGTTTCCGGGGTCTGCCCTGGCAGCGGGCATTTGCTCTGTCATGGTGCCTCTGGCAGCAGTATAAGCCATGACATCAAGGTGGTAATACCTTCACTGAACTAATTCTGTGCATGGTTCGGGCTGTGATCTTGGTTGGTCGCTAGGCTGGCCTTTTTCCTGTCCATTTTCTGAACTTAGTTTTCTAGGCTTTCCAGTAATTCTGTGAGGTATTTCTATGTCAGTTATCTACTGCTTTGCAATAAGTCACCTCAAAACTTAGTGGCTTAAGGGACATGTAGGTGGCTCAGTCGGTTAAGCGTCTGCCTTCAGCTAAGGTCATGGTCCCAGGGTCCTGGGATCGAGTCCTGCATCGGGCTCCTTGCTCAGCGGGAGCCTGCTTCTCCCTCTGCCTGCCACTCCCCCTGCTTGTGTTCTCTCTCTCTGACAAATAAATAAATTAAATACTTAAAAAAAACTTAGTGGCTTAAAACCATCACCATTGAATTTGCTCTGATTCTGCATATCAGCAATTTTGACTGACCTCAGCTGGGTGCTTTTCCCAATCTCACGTGGGCTTTTACTCTTAAGACTGCAGTCATCTCGGGGTGCCTGGGTGGCTCAGTCATTAAGCGTCTGCCTTCGGCTCAGGTCATGATCCCAGGGTTCTGGGATCAAGCCCCTCATCGGGCTCCCTGCTCCGCGGGAGGCCTGCTTCTCCCTCTCCCACTCCCCCTGCTTGTGTTCCCTCTCTCACTATCTCTCTCTCTGTCAAATAAATAAATAAAATCTTCAAAAAAAAAAAAAAAGACTGCAGTCATCTCGAACCTTGACCATTCTGGATGGTCTAAGGAGGCCTCATTCACCAACTGGAGGTTGAAAGGCTTTCAGCGGAGCAGCTTGGTTCTCCTCCATGTGCCTCAGCAGGCTAGCTTAGCCTTGTTTACATCATGATCTCAGGGTTCTAGCAGGAGCCAAAGAAGGAAGCCACCAGCACATAAGCTCTTCTTAGTCTTTTGCTTGCATGTTTTTTAATGTCTCAATAGCCAGAGCAAGTGACACGGCCAAGCCCGGATAAGTGGGGAAATAAACACCTCTTGAGGCAAGGAATTAGAAAATTGCATTGCAAAGGGGCATGCCAACAAGGGACGGGATATATTATCACAGCCCTTTTTATCAGTAATCTATCATATACCCATTGTACTTTTGAGAAATTCTTTTCCTGCATAAATCAGCCAGTCTCAGTTTCTCAGCTTATAGTTAATATCTTTGACTGACATCCTACTTTAAAAGAGCTGCAAGAGTATTCATTGTATCTTATAATTTGTTAAGTGTCTTCCCACAGAAGGTCTCATTGCTTCTGTACAAGTAGCCTTTCAAGCAAGGCACATAGAAAGGAGTTTATAAGTATTAAAATTGAGGCTTACAAAGTTTCGATGATATGTCCAAAATCATATACTTAATGACATGCCTTAGTCTAGGCCTGAACCCAAAAGTTCTGATCCAGTGTTCATTTTTATGCTAAACGGGCCTAGAAGCAGAATGACTTTCTTTTTCTTTATTTTTTAATTCCAAAGTCATTTGTAAGCCTCTGTCAGGTTATAATATTCAAGCAATTCTCGAGCTTCATCCTTTTATTGAATTTTAAATTTTATTAAATTGCAGTTTGTATATGGAATTAAGCAAAAGGCTTAAATAACCAGACTAGGTAATGTTCACAAGAAATTAAAGTCAAGGATTTTCCAAAATTAGGTTATTTCCATAGGCAATAGTGAATGTTTAAGTATATTTTCATTGATTAGATTTTTTCAATATAAGCAGGATCGTTTGTAAAACAAACTTAAATTTAGTGTCTAAATGATCACTAGCAAATGGCTCTTAAGCATATAAGATGTTCAGTATCACACATACCTAAGAAAAATGCCAAATAAAACAGCACTGAAATACTTTACCAATCCATCAGATTGGCAAAGATTCAGAAGTTTGATAACATGCTGTGCTGACAGTGGTGTGGGTGAACAGCCACTCATTCATTGCTGGTGGGGTTGTGAATTATTAAATGTCTGCATAGGTGATTTGGAAATATCCATCAAAATTACAAATGACCCAGAAATTCTACTTCTAGGAATTGAACCTACTAATATATTCACACATTTGAGAAATGACAGATCTATAAGGTTATTCATAGCATCATAGTATGTAATAGCGAAACATTGTCCGTCAGCAGGGATGTAGTAGCATAAAAAAAATCCATCAATAGGGATCTCATTAAAGTAATTATGATACACAACTGCAGTAGAAGTCAGTGTCATTTATTAAAGAGAATATATGGCATGGAATAATCTACATGATATGTTTAAAAGGCAATAAAGAAAGATGTAAAACTGTGGAAAAAGGAAAAAAAAATAGAGAAATGTATGTGCTTGCAAAATGTATAGCCTCTGGAATGATACACAATGATAACATGGGGTGCATGAGGAATACTCTTCATTCACTGACTTTCTAGCTTTTTCTACTATTTGTTGAACCTTTTAAGCCAGGTGAATTTATCTGAGTAAATAATTTTTAAATAAATAAAAAATTAAATTAAAAATAGTTTTGTCCCTAAAACTGTAAACATAGAAAAATGCTGCAAAATATATTTTAAAGGCAGAATATTGGCTATTATCTACTTATTGTGATTATGTGTGACTTTTTAAATTTTGATTTTTTTCCAGGTTTTCTATGATGAGTCTTCATAGAAAAAAGGAAAAATGCAAGTTGCAAAACATGTTTGTAAATCTATTAATGAGTCTGTATTGTCCAAATCATATGGGCAAGACAAAGAACGGAGGAAATACAAGTTCCGTAGTCTTGAAAAAACTTTTCTAATATTTTGCCTATTTTTTTTTTTTTTAAGATTTTTTATTTATTTACTTGACCAGAGAGAGAGACAGCTAGAGAGGGAGCACAAGCAGGGGGAGCGGGAGACGGAGAGGCAGGCTCCTGGCTGAGCAGGGAGCCTGATGCGGGGCTCTATCCCAGGACCCTGGGATCATGACCTGAGCGGAAGGCAGACACTTAACGACTGAGCCACCCACGTGCCCCTATTTTGCCTATTTTAAAAACATTGAGGGTTTACCTGAGCTAGTACTTTTATGTTAAACTGGAAAACACATGTCCCCCACTGCCTGGGATGGTCTTGGTTTATGCCTGTTGTAATTAGGAATCGTGTCCCCTTCAACCTCAAAAAATATGATCACCTTTGGTGTGAGAGGCAAGGTTGAAATTGATGGAAATCCTGGAAAAATAAGCAAGAATGGAAAAGGAAGGCAGGAACAAGAGACTCTGCTAAAAAGCTGAAAAGCTTTAATCTCCTGATTCTTGTTAAAGTTCATTCACTTATACCTGAGAGTTTCTCTACTATAAATAAAAATAGTCACAACGTAAACCTTACATTACAGAATTTCAAGTGTGAATTTTAAAAGTTGCTGCAGGGACATCTGGGTGGCTCAGTCGGTTAAGCGGCTGCCTTCTGCTTAGGTCATGATCCCAGGGTCCTGAGATCAAGTCCCTCATTTAAAATCTTAGTTATGCCCTACCCCTAACCCTGGGCTTCAGTTTCTTTTGTAAAAATAGGGCATTGAATCATGTGATTCCAGAATCCTTCCCAGTTCTAAAATCATGAATTCTGGGGGCGCCTGGGTGGCTCAGGCAGTTAAGCATCTGCCTTCAGTTCAGGTCATGATCCCGGAATTCCGGGATCAAGCCCCGCATCGGGCTCCCTGCTCAGCGGAGAGCCTGCTTCTCCCTCTGCCCCTTACCCTGTTCATGCTCTCTCTTTCGCTCTCTCTCTCAAATAAATAAATAAAATCTTTAAAAAAAAATAAAAATAGGACACCTGGGTGGCTCAGTTGGTTAAGCAACTGCCTTCGGCTCAGGTCATGATCCTGGAGTCCCGGGATCAAGTCCCGCATCGGGCTCCCTGCTCGGCAGGGAGTCTGCTTCTCCCTCTGACCCTCCCCACTCTCATGCTCTCTCTCTCTCATTCTCTCTCTCAAATAAATAAATAAAAATATTTTTTTAAAAAATTAATTAATTAATTAATTTAAAAAAATAAAAATAAATAAAACCATGAATTCTGTGTAAACCTTTTGCAATATAACTATCTGCCAGCCATTGAGGTGGGAAAAGCAAACTTAAAATTTTTGTTTCTCTTTTTCTTTCCTCTCATGAAGGTAAAGTTTATCTGATAAGAGGCCTAAAATTGACTTCCATTTTAATGAGAATCCATTTGCACTCCCAAGATACAGTCTTTAGTTGTTTTGGCTTTGCTGTGTTCCTTAGTCAATTTTTATTAATATTTTTGTGGCAAAGTCCTATATTATTTTAGATCTCAATCATTATAAACTATTAGGACATACCTATTCTAAGTTCCTTGACAGGAGAGACAGGAATGATGGTTTATGTTGATAATGACTCGAGTACAAGTAGATGGAACAATGAACCTATATGTTGAACTGCTTTTGAACTTTATAAGTGGACTAAATCTGTGCTACTTTTCTCTTTTTGTTTAGGAAATGTGGGTTCTTCCCCTAGATCCTCTGACTTGGTCAGATTAGCCCAAGAGTGCTGTTACCATAATAACAGGGGCATTGCAGCTCATGGAGTACGAGTCCTAACTAATATAACAGTCTCTTGTCAAGAAAAAGGTAAGTTTGATCAGGACTGATACTATGTATAAACTTTCAGATTGAAGTTTGGGTGGAATTGTGTGTGTGTGTGTGTGTTTAATCTCTTCTTTTTAGCATATATGCTTTTATCTATTGGTTGCCTCTAAAGTCTACTTAGAGCAGGTTTTCTCAAAACTACTTAATCCTATGAAAAATAAAAACATATATATGAGGACCTTGGGATTGGGATTATGAAATTGAAAGGTTTCATAGAGCATTGCACATTTCCTCCCAGTGCTTCACTTTGCATGCATGGTGCTGTGGATACGGATCACTTTTGACTGCCCTGTGGTATGACAATTTTTTCGCATGTACAAAAACCTGGAAAATTGAGGAAGAAAATACCTTAAGTTATCAAGGGGCTTAAGTAACAAATAGTTTCACCTAAGGGCAAATGAATTAAGAGAGTAATATGAATTAAATTTGCCTAGAATTTGTCTCTAGGTATTTAAAGCATTAAGCTCATTTGTATAATTTAGGATGTGAATAGAAAATATGCTTATATTTTATTTTATTCCTAATATTTTTTACCTAAAGACTTGAATAAGTTCAAGCTAGTATTCAAAACAGAAATGTATTTTGTTTTTTTGTTTTGTAGGATGTGAATAGAAAACAATGCTTATATTTTATTGTATTCCTAATATTTTTGACCTAAAGGCTTGCATAAGTTAAAGCTGGTGTTCAAAAACAGAAATGTACTTTGGATGTTTCTTCTGTTTCGGTGTTTATTTTGCTCTTCATTAAGGATCGTTAAGTGGGGATCTTACCACACTAGACGTCAGCACTGCTCATTCCTAGTACCTATTTTTTCCTAGCACCCTGACCTTTGCTAGACTTAACACTGTCAAGCCCTACACTAACTCAGGTGACATTCCTTTAAAATTCTTCTTTAAATGCTGATTCTTATTTGAATAATTAGTCCTGTTTTATTTTTGATATAGTAATGAGTATTTTCTACCATGTAACAGAAAACTGTATGTTCTCAAACTTCATATATATTAACCTTAATATGGTTAACAATGTATTCAGAATTCTCTAGAACTTCTAGAGAAATTCGAGCCCTAAGGTAGTAGAAAGATGCTATAGTACTGCTATTACATGAGACACCTTAAGGGGTTTGTTCTTTGTGGTCTGACTTAAAATATTAATAAGGTTATGTGGGGTTTTCATTACTTCCTAAAAGGGTTTCAATTTTCATTAGAAAGTTACATTGTAGGTGAAAATGGACAAGCATAATTTATGCCTAGTTAGGAAGATTAAAAATTTATATCTAGTGAGGAAGATTTATGTCTGGTTAGGAAGATTTATGCCTGGTTAGGAAGGTAGTACATAGTTTGCTGTTCCTAGTAGTTTCCTCAGCTAAGCTGGTGACACTGTTTTCAGCTATGCTTTATTTATACCTTTGTGGCTGTAGTTCTTGATTGAACATAGGTATACATACCTTTTTTTAAAAATATTAGTTTCAGGTGTAGGACATAATGATTTGATATTTGTATATATTGTGAAATGATTACCACAGTCTAGTTAACATCAGTCATCATACATAGTTATAAATTATTTTTCTGTGATGAAAACTTTTAAGATCTACTCTCTTACCTTTCAAATATGAAATACAGTATTATTAACTATACTCGCCATGCTATACTCATTTTATAACTGGAAGCTTGCCCCTTTCAACCCCCTTCTCTCATTCTGTCCACCATCTGTCTCTGGCAATCACCAATCTGTTCTCTGTACCCATGAGCTCAGTTTTTCTTCACTTGTTCGTTTTAGATTCCACATGTAAGTGACATCATATGGTATTTGTCTTTTTCTATCTGACTTACTTCACTTAACATAATGCCTTTAAGATCGATCCATGTTGTCTCAAATGGCAGGTTTTCCTTCTTTTTATGGCTGAATAATAATCCATTGTGTATCAGTACCATTCTTTATCCATTCACCCACTGGTGGACTCAGGTTGTTTCCATATCTTGGCTATTGTAAATAATGCTGTAATGAACATGGGGGTGCATATGTCTTTTTGAGTTAGTATATTCATTTTCTTTGGTAAATACCCAGAAGTGGAATTGCTGGAGCATATGGTAGTTCTATTTTTAGGTTTCTGAGGAACCTCCACACTGTCTTCCGTAGCAGCTGCATCAATTTGCATCCCCACCAGCAGTGCACAGGGTTCCCTTTTCTCCACGTCCTTGCCAGCTTGTTACTTCTTGTCTTTTTGATAATAGCCATTCTAACAGGTATGAGATGAGATCTCATGGTTGTTTTTGATTTGCATTTCCCAGATGATTGGTGGTGTTGAGCATCTTTTCATGTACCTATTGGCCATCTGGATATCTTCTTCAGAAAAATTTCTCTTCAGGTCCTCTGCTCAGTTTTTAATTGGATGGTTTGTTTTTTGCTATTAAGTCATATGAGTTCTTTATATATTTTGGGTATTAACCCCTTACCAGAAACATATTTACAAATATTTTCTCCCATTTTCATCTTGTTGATGGTTTCCTTTGCTGTGCCAGAAGCCTTTTAGTTTGATGTAATGTATATATTTTTAGAATTGTCAGTATAGTAGTGGAAAAATAGAAGTCCAAAGATAGCCTTTACATTTCAGAAGTAATGGCATGTGTACTTTTTCAGGAAGGTTAACTTTACACATAACAGTGTTTCTTATATCTTCGACTCCTTAATGGTTTTTTCTTCTAAGTGTGTGTGTGTGTGTGTGTGTGTGTATTTAATCTTCTCTACTTGGCCACTGTAAAACTTAGTGTTTTTCCTCTAGACCTTTCAGCACTGGAACAGGATGCTGTCTTTGGCCTGGAATCCCTTCTGGTACTTTGTAGTCAAGATGATAGTCCAGGTGCTCAAGCCACTTTAAAGGTGAAAATATCACTTATCTTAATATAATGCCTGTTTTTATTGCCTAAACTAGGGATTGGCAATCTCTCTATAAAGGACCAGATAGTAAATATTTTAAGTTTTGTAGGCTATATACTCTTTGTCACAACTACTCAGTTCTGCAGTGGTAGGATGAAGCAGCCATCGGCACTGTGTGAAAGGGAACAGATAGGCAGCGTGGTGGTGTGGCAATAAAGCTTTATTTATAAAGCCAGGCCAGAGTTGGCCAAAGGGCAGTGGTTTGTCAACTCCAGTTCAAACAAACATTTGCCCTTGATCTTCACTTTCAAAACTATCATGTTGACCATTGTTATTCCAAAGGATAGACAAAGTAAAAATCTGAGCTTTGGCTTATTTTGCCATCAGTTGAGAGTGTTTATTAAGTTGTAGTAAATACATATGAAGGTCCTAGATTTTGCCATCAGTTGACAGTGTTTATTAAGTTGTAGTAAATACATATGAAGGTCCTAGACAATATAAAGCAAAGGGAAATAGGCAGAGCTCCTGCACTTTAGGAAGTTTATAATCTGAGGTGACACTGGTAAGAGATATTTAAGGTTTATTATTATATTTTTATTATATTTAAGATACTAGAGATATTTAAGACTTTCAAAATGTGAAATGAAACTACTCTTACTGGAGTGAAATATGAAATATAATTTGTGATGGTAAAAATTAAGAAAAGTGGGATTAATAGAAGTAGAAAGCTACTAGGTAGACAATGGAGATTATAAGAACGATAGCTTGTCTAAGGTGTGATTTGAAGGAAGTCATTACTTAGTTTAGCATGTTAAGGAAAGGTTTGATGTCATAGTGATGAACAGTAAAGATATTAATACCATTAAATAAAAGCTGGTAAGAGGTGGGAAGGGAAGTAAGTAGGCAACATGTGTTTGGCAAGTGATTCATCCCCGGAATCCCTTTGGAACCACAATAAATTTATTTAAAAGTTTAAAAAAGAGAAAGAGAGAAAGAAAACAAACCAAATCCTTTTCCCACCAATTGTAGGTATCAATAAAACACTGGACTCAACACAGTGGGACATATATAGATGATCACAAAGGTCCCTGTGTTAGAGGAGTTCCCCATCTAGAGAATACTGACATTTATCTAAGGGACTAGAATAGCAAGCAGAACGCACTAAATTCCTTGGTGTAGTACAAACAGAAGTGCAATTCTAATGAGAGGACAGAGTTGGGAGTGATGCCTTTCAGCTAAGGATGTTAGCAAAGATTTGCACAAGGAGATGTCATGTGAGTTAAGCCTTGAAAGATGGCGTAGAATTTCAACACTGAGGAAAGATCATTTGAACCCAAGGGACTACTGCTACTAAAGGCATGAAAACAGAAATGCACTTGTTATGTTGGAAGAATGGTGAATAACCCACTGTGGCTAGATGATATAATATATAAGATTGGAAAAATTGTTTGCAGCTCTGTCATGGAGTATAATCAAATATCATGCCAAGGAACTTTTTCTTTTTTCTATAGGTAGTGAGGAGATACTAAAGTTTTAAAGTAATGGACATGCTGTGACCTTCTTTGTAATTATTGTTATTTAAATGTATCTATTATGTGCCCAACTTTGTTGACAACTTGTATATACATTTCTTTCCTTCTTTACAAAAACCCATCCAGTGAAATTTTCCCCCTTTAATACTCATGAGGAAATTAAGATTCAGAAAGATAAAATAACTTGTTGAAAGGTACCTAGCTAATCAAGGGCAAGCTGATCTTCAAATCTGGATCTGTCAGATTCTGAAGACATCATTGTGTCTTCCTAACTCATACTGAAAGCTACATGGCTCTAGTGTGAAGGATGGGTTAATGGGCCCATCTTTTTAAGAGACTGGGATTAGGGAGAGATTTATGTTGTGGTAGAGAGAATGGAAAGCAGGTAGATATTGAAGATTGGACAAAAGTGGAAATGACGAGATGTAGCAATCAGTTGGCTATGTAGAAGTGAGAGGACTTCTGGTTTCTGGTTCTGGTGGCTGGGATATTAGTTGATGCCATTAACTGGCCTGCATAGACGTTCTAAAGCCAATTGGTTTTTTGGATTTCAGGTGAGAAGTGAGAGAGAAAATTAGGAGTTTCTTCCCCACTTTTGTGTGCTTAAGAGTCACCTAGGACACCTTTTTTGAAATTCTAACTATCAGTAACCCAAATACTAAAAAAAAAAATTAATCCATTAAGTTTGGAATAGGTAGGGCCTGGGAATCTATATTTTTATGAGCATCCTGGGTGATGCTGGAATAGGTAAGTTTACAAACCATACTTTAGAAGCAATTTTTGAAAAGCAGTGAAAGTGCAGTATGGTGAGATCCCATTTGGCATGAATTTTGCCTCTTCAGCATTGTGATTTTTCTCTTCAAGTCTTTTTTTTTTTTTAATAGTCTTAGATTGAAATGAGTGGTTAATATACAGTCCTGACTTATTTTCATTTTAAACCTGGCACATTTGTAGATCTTAATAAGACTCAGTACACGGTGTGTTTCTTATGAAGGAAAATGTTATGCCTACAAAAAGACCTTTTCCTTGATTTTTCCTATTCCTTGATTTTTCCTAATAACTGTACTGAGTTCTTTCTTTAAAGCTTCAGTTAATACCTTCACAGTATAACTGGTCCATTTTCTATTCAATGTGCAGATTGCTCTAAATTGTATGGTGAAGTTGGCCAAGGGCAGGCCTCACCTTAGCCAGTCAGTGGTTGAGACCTTGTTGACCCAGCTGCACAGTGCTCAGGATGCTGCACGGATCCTGATGTGCCATTGCCTGGCGGCCATTGCCATGCAGCTGCCAGTGCTGGGCGATGGCATGCTTGGGGACCTCATGGAGCTCTACAAGGTGATCGGACGATCAGCCACAGACAAACAACAAGAACTTCTGGTAAAGAGCCGCCTTTTGAACCTACTGGGGATGAATAGATCTGGTCTAGTGGGAATTACTTTAGGAAGTCAATGTTACTGTTTGACTTTACTTAAAAAGATTAAAGTAATTGGAGCACCTGGGTGGGGCAGTCGGTTAAGCATCCAACTCTTGATTTTGGCTCAGGTGATGAGCTCAGGGTCATGAGATCACGCCCTGTGTCAGGCGCCATGCTCATTGCCCAGTCTGAGATTCTCTGCTTCTCCCTCTGCCCCTCCCCCTGCTCACTCTCTCTCTCAAATAAACAAATAAATCTTTTTTTAAAAAAGATTAAAGTAATTATGTAAGATCAAGAGTATGCTGAAGTCAGAATAGAATTGGAACCATGAGCTTTTGACTATTTCCACTTTTGATTTACAAAGCTCTGTTTAGTGCAGATCTAAAACTGCCTTCTTCCTAAGCCCTGTCAAATCAGTTTAGTGTAGCAAAGCCTTAGTCTGATATTTTTATTACAAAGTGAAAATAAAATGTTTTCCTTCTTATACAAAGCAAATAATGAACTAAAAACCCTGTTATAAACTTTCAAAAATGTAAGTTAAAGACCTGATGATTAACAGTGACCATAAATTAGCCCAAATTGCTTTTTTCCAATTCAGGACCTCTTTACCTGTTTAGAATCCAGTTTAGATTTCAGTATAGTCCTGGGGTTGAGAAAGGTGTGTGCTTAGAAACAGAAGGCACAGAAGCTATATAATAATGTTTAGTTGAAAGTTCTCCAGGGCTAAGAGTAGGCTTCATTCTAAATAAGCATAAATGCGGGCGCCTGGGTGGCTCAGTTGGTTAAGCGACTGCTTTCGGCTCAGGTCATGATCCTGGAGTCCCGGGATCGAGTCCCGCATCGGGCTCCCTGCTCAGCGGGGGGTCTGCTTCTCCCTCTAACCCTCTTCTCAAATAAATAAATGGAATCTTTATAAATAAATAAATAAACAAACAAATAAATAAATAAATAAATAAATAAGCAAGCATAAATGCGGTGTAAGCCTTATTGTGGTCATCCCAATTTAGGGCTTGTGGAAAAAGGAAACGAGATTTCTTACTCAAGCCCATTTTACATTTTATCCTCCAGGGGGCGTTGTGTAAAAGAGTGCCCCCATCTCATTCCTATCAGGAAAGGTTACCCTGATGACCAAGTGGCAGTGGTCATGGGAATAACATCATGCAGTTTTCACAATATATACAGACCTTTGTATGTATCAGCCTCAGAATACTAATAAGCAGATTTTTTTTTGTTTATTTTTATTGAAATGTCATTTTATTGAAGTTTATTTTTTATTGAAACGGCATTTCCGGAAACTAATGTTCTTTATCCTATTTTTGTTAGTACTGTTATGAGGCAGTTTTAAATTATGAAACATAGTATTCAAAAAACATAAGGAATAATATGAAAACATTTGCATCCATCATCTAGCTTAAGGGAAAAATATTCCCAGTCTAGTTGAATTGTACCTCCCTGTGTACCTCCCTTACCATATCTTCTTCCTTCTCCCAGAGGTTACCACTATCCTGAATTTGATGTTCATCATTCCCATGCATGTTATACACTTACTACCTTAGAATATATCTTAAGTAATAAGCAGTATTATTTTGCATATCTTTAACTTTATATAAATGTTATCTTGCTACATGAAATCATTTGCATGTTGTCTGTCTTTGCCTATTTTGTGTGAATCATCTATACAGATAAGTGTATCTCTAGTTTACCCATTTCTCTACTAAATAATATTTTATTGTGTGATTATATCATAATTTACCTACCCGTATTGATGGGCATTATTTCTAATTATTTGCTATTGTAAACAATGCTCTGAGCAATGGAATAAATTGCTTAATGACTTCAAAGTGGAAAATTAATAAATGTCAAAGGAAAACAAATTTGATGGGCTCTAGCTTTGTCCCTTTTGGGTAAAGTCATCTGTGACATTGGATAAAATTACATGTTTTCCTTATTTCTCTTACTTCTTGCTCAATGTTAGGTGAGTTTGGCCACTGTGATTTTTGTGGCCAGTCAGAAAGCACTATCTGCTGAAGTAAAGGCAGTAATTAAACAGCAGCTTGAAAGTGTCTCCAATGGATGGACTGTGTACCGAATTGCCAGACAGGCATCCAGAATGGTATGTATTATCCTTCTCTAGGACCCAGGTTGGCAAAAATAGCAAAGCTTAGATTGTGTGATTCTGACTTCTAGTCAAAACTGAAAATAAATATGGAAGTACGTTTTAGTCATGGGATTGAAAGTTTTTAACTTTTCTCATTTCAGAATGGTATGTGTGTTGTTACGGGGCAAGTTCCACAGGAATTCGAAAAATATGAGCTCTTTCTGGCTGAAGGTTATTAGTGGCACTTCATTTTTCCCTATACTCTCATATCCGCAGTCGCCTCCCACCCACCATTTCTGTCCTCCATTATCATTACCCCACATCTTTCTTCCCTCTCTCTCCCCAACCTTGTCATTCTTACATGGAGAGGGAGGCAAGTTTTGGTATGCTGTTCCCTTCTCAGTCATATGGAAAGCCTGCCAATTTTTATTTTGTTGGAGAGGAAATATAGAGCTTGGATAGTATAGAAATCTTTTGGATACAAGTCCAGAGAGCAAAATTTGAGAAGCATTATTCTAGGTATTGTAATGCATGTTCTCATCTTACCGCGTTTCTCAAATAGAGGAGGAGCTCTATTGGTAGGACAATTCTTTGCTATACCCAACACCCCCAAGCATCCAGGTGCTGCAGGATATTGAGCATCCCTGGCCCCCAGGCATTCAGTGGCACTCACATTCCCCACAACAGCTCCCCTCCCCCAGTCATTTCCAGAGGCAGGTGCAGTGCTTCTGATAATCACTTCAGGGAACTTGCTGGAGTCTCCTGCCCGTCCCCGCCCCACTAAATAGCTCATACAGAATGACATACACTCAGTGTTTACACTTTCTATAGTTTGAACTAAAATTCTAGACTTGAGTTATAGTTAACTCCATTTATTTTCTCTTTGGAACTGTTTTAGAAAAGAACTAAAGGTGTTTGTTACGTAAAAGCAGCTCAGCATCTTTTCTCTGAAGAAATACTTAGACCGAGTCTTAAAGAATTATATAATGTGAGGAATGGTTGTTAAAACTTATCCAAGGGTTTTGAGTTTGTCTTTCAGCTGCCTCTCAGCTAATTCAAGTGTGAGAACCTCATCATGTGCCCATCCCCGCTTTTTCAGGGTAACCATGACATGGCCAGAGAGCTTTATCAGAGTTTGCTGACTCAGGTTGCTTCAGAACATTTCTACTTCTGGCTAAATAGTCTGAAGGAGTTCTCACATGCAGAACAGTGCCTCACCGGGTTGCAGGAGGAGAACTATAGTTCAGCACTTTCTTGCATTGCTGAGTCTTTAAAATTCTACCACAAAGGGATTGCTTCCTTAACAGTAAGTCCTCTTGACTCTCCTTTGGTGATGATGACTTGTATGAGGATGGTCTCAATTTTCTTTGTGGGTTTTTCTGTTTGAACTACCTTGAAAAATCTGGTGATAAATACATTTAACAATATTAAATAATAGGACATGGTAGTAAATCCTTAACCCTTTCCCCACTTTTTCATATTCATAAATTGATGGAAGTTTATCATTTTGTTTTTATCAAGTACCAGGTACCACATATGAGGTGGATTACTGAATCCATGCAGAAAGGATAAGTAGGAGATAGGATCTTCCCTTTCCAGACTCCTGTTCCTAAGAGGTATTGGGTCAGAACCAACCATCAAATGTAAACCCCGCCACAACCCATTTCATGCCTGGCAGCTACTCACTAAGAAGCTAAAGTTTCTTGCTTTGTAGATAAAGAAGAAATTGTCAAGGATGCTAGTGTCCCACTTTTTACCCCTCTGTGATATCCTCCTATTCTAAATTAAGAGTCAGCCAGCTACTATTCTTGTTTTCTCTGCCAGGAGAGTAAAGGGGTTGCAAGAAGGGTAGACCATTAACATTTCTATGTTTCCTTGAAATTAGTTATATTCCAAAGTAAGAACCTGTACCCAAGATGAGCATTTTCTATATTAATGCAAAGATTTATTTTCCCCTTAAGGGTAAAGAGTTTATATAGTCAACATTAAACATTTGTAAGTATGATCACACAGCTTTTAAAATTGTATATATTTAGATGGAAACCATAAAACTTTTGGTACCTGTTTATATACATTATTCCCATAATCTAAAATATTTTTAATGGTGGGCCATCCCAAAAGAAGTGCTCTAAAGTAGAATAAAGAATAAACAGATGTCACAAAAGAGACAATATTCAGAATACTGTCAGTACATATCTTTTGAAGTATAATTTTTTTTTGGCTAGGATTGATCGATCAACTGCTGTTTTAAAACAGGAATATAGGCATGGCTTCTCTCCATCTTAAAGGGTAGCATTGACTACTGTGATTCTTTTCTCTTGATTATTCTGATAAAAGAGTGTTGTTGCCTGTATCAGGCTAATAAATGCCTCAGAAAATCAAAAGGTACAATTACTGGTTGCAATCAGTAGAATTATTTCATTTTCTAGTTCACGTGGAGCAGAAAATTGTTTATTATTCAGTACAGTAAATGGTTGGAACTGTGAAACAAACTCAGCAGCAAAGCAGATAAAATTAATACTATGAAAATCCTGTTGAATATTTAATAGTCTTTTAATGATTTGTGTGGTATGTGTACTTAATGAGGCTTGGCAGTAATTAAGGACTGATTCTAACATAGAAAGAAAGTACTCAGTTGACAGAAACCTCTTGTCTTGATCTCCTTTCTGCCGTTAACATATTATGACCTAAGGCAGGTTATTGGGCCTTACGTCACCTCCTTTTGAAATGGAATTCTTTTATTCAGCAGACTATAAGCACTTACTAGTGCCAGATACTGCTTTGAGGATTAAAAGAAGATCAGGACATGATTCTCTACTTGAGAGTAGGGTAGAGAGGAAGGCAGTATGATTCTTACAGTCATTTGGAACTTACCACATTTCTGATTGTACTATACCATCAGGGTCTTTTAAAGATTTATTTTAATCATTCATTTGGCAAGTGTGGATTGACAGTAGCTTTGTGTCTTTGTAACTGAGAAGATACGAGCATGGACTGACCTTCTACTCCTGCCACATGAATGACCCAACATGAGATTGGACAGTTGTGAGAATTCTGCTTTTTACCTGCTTCAGCCAAACCGAACAGGAGAAGTTCAAATTCTGTGCTATGGGGACCGTATAGCAACATCGGGTATCTAAATTTCCCAACACTAATTAATGATTGAGTTATCTTGCTACTTAAGAATAAAAATTATAAAAAGTATTTTAGTTTTCTGTGCTGTGTAACAAATCACCACAAATTTAATGACTTAAGACAACACCCCCCCCCCTTTTTTTAAGATTTTATTTAAAAGAGAGAGAGAGTGCGTGTGAGCGAGCGAGCACAGGAGCAGCTGGGGGAGCAGAGGGAGAGGGACAAGCAGACTCTGTACGGAGCACAGAGCCTGTCATGAGGCTCCTTCCCATAACCCTGTGATCAGGAATCCGCCACTTAACCGACCATGCAGGCCACGCAGGCAGCCCAGACAATACCCATGTGCCCATGAGCCAGAGGTCCAGGCATGGCTCAGCTGGCTCCTCTGATCATGATGTCATAGTCGCGGTCACAGTGTCAGGCAGGGCCAGTCTGGTCTGAGGCCCAAGGAGGCACAGGGTCCTCTTCTGGACTCATGTTGGCAGAACTCATTTCCTCACAGCCTTCGAATTTGTGGAAGCTTCAAGGCCTGCAGGAAAATCTCTCACCTTCAAGACTGTCTTTTAATGGGCTCACCTGATTAGGAGAGATCCACCCAGAAAAATCTCCCTTTTGATTGATACACAGTCACTTCATTAAGGATCTAAATTATATCCCCAACATTCCTCACCTTTGCTGTATTCCATTGGTTAGAAACAAGTTACAGATTTCATCCACACTCAGATTACTGAAGATGTGGACACCGTGGGGTGTGAAGCAGAGGAACAATCTTAGCATTCTGCTTACAGTGGTGGATTGTTAATTGTATTTATTTATTTATTTATTTAAAAAAAAATTTTTTTTAAGATTTTATTTATTTATTTATTGGAGAGCGAGCGAGAGAGAAACAGCATGAGAGAGGAGAGGGTCAAAGGGAGAAGCAGGCTCCCCACTGAGCCGGGAGCCCGATGTGGGACTCGATCCCAGGACCCTGGGATCATGACCTGAGCTGAAGGCAGTCGCTTAACCACCTGAGCCACCCAGGTGCCCTATTTATTTATTTTTTTAAGGATTTTATTTATTAGAGAGAGAGAGCATACCTGAGCTGGGGCGGGGGGGGGGGGGAGACGGAAAGGGACAAGCAGACCCCACTGAGCGCAGAATCTGTCACAGAGCTCAGTCCCAGGACCCTGAGATTGACTGAGCCACCCAGGTGCCCCATTTTATTTATTTTAAAATAGTAAATATGTAGAATATCTCCATATATAGTATAGAGGGTATATTAAAAAAATACAACAGGGGCGCCTGAGTGGCTCAGTCGGTTAAGCGTCTGCCTTCAGCTCAGGTCATGATCCCAGGGCCCTGGGATCGAGCCCCACATCGGGCTCACTGCTCAGTGGAGAGCCTGCTTCTCCCTCTCCCTCCACCTGCCACTCTATCTGTGCTCTCTCTCTCTCTGTCAAATAAATAAATAAAATCTTTAAAAAAAAAAAAAAAAAAAAAAAAAACAAATATCCAGATATACCTAGTATATTTAGGAAATGGGGCATTACCATTGCCTCTAAAATTCATGCATATTCCTCCATGTTTGTATACCATTTCCTACCCCACAAAGATAATCACCATCCTGAATCTTCTGTATACCATTCTCTTGCCTTTCTTTATAATTTTAACATGCATTTTTGAACTCTAAGCAAGGTACTATTTTATGTTGTTTTTGAATTTTATATAAAAAAGAATCATATTTTTCTTCAACTTGCTTTATTTAAATTATGTTCTTAAGATTCATTCATCTTGTTGCATGAAGCTGTAGGTCAGTTTTACTGCTGTATATTCTTCCATCATATGAATATACATCAATTTATTTGCCCATTCTAGTGTTGATGGAAATTTTAATTTTTCCAGTTTTTTGCTGTTAAAAACAGTACTGCTATGAACATTCTTGTACATATCTTTTGATACACATATGTAAAGCTTTTTCTAGGACAGCGATCCTCAATCGGGAATGATTTTGCCCTTCCAGAGGACATTTGGCAATGTCTAGAGACATTTTTCGTTATCATGATTTGTCATGGTGTTACTGGCATTTAGTGGGTACAGGCCAGAGATGCTGCTAAACATCCAGCAATGCACAGGACCACTCCCTTCAACAAATAACTCAGTTCAAACTGTAACTAGTATACTGAGAATGGAAACCCTTCTCTAGGGCAGTAAACCTCAATCAAAGCTACATATCTGTCCCTTGCTCCAATTTGGAAGTGTGTGGGGATGTCTCTCTTTGTCACAGGGTAAGGGGGACTACTACTGGCTTTAACGGTCAGTGGGTAAAGATGCTTAATCTCCTGAAATGCCCAGGACATTCCTGCCTCTGCTAAGAGATACTGCTCTAGGGGCACCTGGGTGGCTCCGTCGTTAAGCGTCTGCCTTCCGCTCAGGTCATGATCCCAGGGTCCTGGGATCGAGCCCCGCATCGGGCTCCCTGCTCAGCGGGAAGCCTGCTTCTCCCTCTCCCACTCCCCCTGCTTGTATTCTCTCTCTCACTACAAGGTTATGTACACCTTCAGTTGACTAGCTAATACCAGGAGGCTTTCTATTATGGTTTACAAATTTATAATCCTCCCAGCAGTGTATGAGTTCCTGTTGCTCTACATTTTTCCCCTCACTTGGCATGTTCTAGACATTCTGATTGACATTACATCTAATAAATAAAATGTTTAATTGAATTAGTAATTTGAGAAATGGTTTCAGGTATACAGCACAATGTGTCTCTCACTGTCTCTCTGTCAAATAAATAAAATCTTTTAAAAAAATAATAAAGAGATACTGCTCTAATATACTACCTGGGAGTGCACCAGAGTTCCCTTTTCTCCACATTCTTGACAACACTTACTTGTTCTTGTCTTTTTTTTTTGTAATTTCTTTCTTTCTTTCTTAGAAAGAGAGAGCACAAGCAGGGGGGGTGGGAGAGTGGAGAAGCAGGCTCCCCGCTGTTGGCCTTTCTAACAGGTGTGAAGTGATATCTTGTGGTTTTGATCTGCATTTCCCAGATGATTAGTGATGTTGAGCATCTTTTCATATATCTGTTGGCTGTCTTTATATCTTCTTTGGAAGAATAATCTAGTCAAATCTGCTAATTTTATAATCAGATTGTTGTTTGTTTTGTTTTGCTGTTGAGTTAATAAGAGTTCTTTA